CGCACACGACACACACACACTACACAGCACACACAGCACAGCACACACACACACTTTAAAGAATATTGATGAAAACCAGGCAGTGGCAGCACATGCCTTTCATTCCAGCACTTGGGACACAGAGGCAGGTAGAGTTCTGGGTCTGAGTCTAACCTGCTCTACAAAAGTGAGTTCCGGATCAGCAGGACTACACAGAAAGGCCCTGTCTCAAAAAAAAAAAAAAAAAAAAAAAAAAGCCAGGTGCAGTGGCCCACACCTTTAATCCCAGCACTAGGTAAGGCAGAGGCAGGTGGATCTCTGTGAGTTCGAGGCCCAGCCTGTTCCAGAACAGCCAGGGCCATGACACAGAGAAACCCTGTCTTGAGAAATAAACAAACAAACAAACAAATAAATATATATAGCTAAGTATGGAGGTACATGGAGATGAGTTGAGGCAGAAGGATCCAGAGTTGGAGACTAACCTGGGCTACATAATAAAAGACTCCCAAAGCAAAAACAAAAGCCAAAGTAACAAAAAACAAAGTCCAAGGGTGAAAACCCTGACCACAGGCGCAGCAAACAGGAAGTGCTCCATAAATGTCTGACATTGGCTTGGAATTGCCGCCTCTCTTCCCTCTTCAAATATATCTCCTGGATCCTTGATAAAAGGGCAAAGCCCAGAACTGAAGCCACTCCAGGGCCCTGTCCACCATCTGGAGGCAATGAACTGTATTTGTACCAGTGCTAAGTGGAAAGACTGTCATCATCAGCATTGGCAGGCCGAATGGTTGTTAGAATCTGATGCTAGCAAGAAACAAAACAAAATAAAAAACATAACAAAAATTCACACACACAACAACAACAAACCAAACCAACCAACCAAACAAACAAAAAAACCAAACAAAACAAAAATGTTATTCCAGGGGAAACCACTAGGCATTTTGGAATGAGCAGTCAGTTGATTGGGGACAAAACCTGGGCATGTGCAGAGCCTACCAGCTGCCCAACTGTAAGAGTAAATGTGAGTGAGGTCTTTCACCTTCTAAGGAACAAATGTTTTGATTCCCCCACCATCTTTCATTCTGTCTTCTTGTTCCCTGTACATCAGCCCCAGGGCTGCTGTTAAGTGAAATCGGGGTGTTTACACCTGCTTAACACCCCTCATCCTTGCTCATCACATTGTGGCCAGAGACTTTCTGTTCAAGTTGTCCACATGCCAGGTTTCTGCCTAAGTGTGGTGGAGCCTCCACCCATGACGCCTCTGCTTAACACATGCTCTAACCTTCCTTGGACTCATTCTTCAGCCCTCAGTTGCAATTCAAAACCACAGGCTCCTTTCTGAGACACTTCCTGATACCCAAATTGAAATCTGCCACCCATGGGGCTAAGAAGATGGCTCATTTGGTAAAATACTTGCTTTGTATGCTGGCTTGTTTTATGTCAACTTGACACAGGCTAGAATCATTTGAAAGGCAGGAACTTCAGTTGAGAAAAGGCCTTTATAAGATCAGGCCTGCAGGGTCTTAACTAATTTTTCCTTAACCAATTAAAAAAATTGATTGACAGGGGAGGGCCTAGCCCACTGTGGATGGTGCCACACCTGGGCTGATGGTCCTGGGTTCTATAAGAAAGCAGGCTGAAGAAGCCATGAAGAGCAAGCCAGTAAGCAGCATTCTTCCAGGGCCTCTGCATTTGCTCCTGACTCCAGGCTCCTGCCCTGGCTTCCCTCAATGGACTCAGGACAGGAAAGTCAAATTAACCCTTTCCTCCCCAAGTTGCTTTTGTCATGATGTTTCATCACAGCAATAGGAACCCTAACTGAGACACTCTGTAAGCATGAAGAGCAAAGTCTGGATCCCCAAAATCCACATAAAGAAGCCATTCACATTTGTAATCCCATTGCTGGGGAGGCAGAAACAGGAGGATCCCCGGGGCTGGCTATCCACCCAGTCTAGCTAAGCAGTGAGTTCCAAATTGATTTCAGAGAGAAAGAGAGAGAGAGAGAGAGAGAGAGAGAGAGAGAGAGAGAGAGAGATCGAGAGATCTATCCTGTTTCAAAAACCAAATTGAGGGGCTGGAGAGCTGGCTCTGTCAGTGGTTAAGAGCACCTGTTGCTCTTGCAGAGGACACAGGTTCAATTCGTATCATCCACACAGGAACTTACAACCATCTGTAACTCCACACCCAGGAATCTGGCACCCTATATTCTGACCTCCAAAGGCACCAGGCATGCACATGGTTTACATACACACACACATGCAGGCAAAACATTCACACACACAAAAGAGAAAATAAATCTACTTCTTTTAAGGAGTTGGAAGAAGACACTCAGCAGGATTTCTGTTTTCCACACGCACACGCATGTGCACACTCCTCCATATATATACATACATACAAGCATACCCCCCTCTATATGCCTCATTTCTATGAACTCAGAGATGGCTGACTTCTCTCTGTGAGCACTTGCCAGAGATCAAATTGCACTCACTTTGTCTCCTAAAAGACCGAGTGAGCTTCACCAGGGCAAGGAGGGACATCTGCCCCCCATGAGCCCCAATCACTGCAGACAGCAGCACACAACAAGCAAATGAATTCCTCTAAACTGCTGTTAATGCCTCTCAGGCATTCTGATGGAACAGAGGGGGGGGGGGGGGGGGCACTGGAGCTCCTCCCACTCCCCACCTAGGGCTGGGCATTCTCCCTCCTTAAAACAGGATCACAAAGTGGAACCCTGTCTTTTGGCTAATTCTGTTAATGAAGGGAACAGGACAGCATCCCTTCCCCTACATCAGTTTAAAAAGAGTCATTTATTCTCATCCTTGTAACTAAGCAAGGACCATGGGTGAACACCAGCTGGAAAATGTGTCATTGTTGAACCGCTTAAATGACAAGAAACCCTACGGTGGAGAGGGGGTTAGACTCAAGGCAGAGAGAACTGGGTTGCAAACCTTGAAATTCAGCACAATTTACCAGTGCTTCGGTTCACCAGATGCAGGACTATTGGCCTCAATTTGCAGATCTAACAAATGGGAATAGTGATAAGTACACAAGGAAGTCCTGAAGATCTCCCTCCTTGGCTTTGGGTGGAGGTTTTGTCCCAGGAAGGAAGCTCCATGGGAGAGTCTGTTCCGGCCCCAGGAACTGAGTAAGTAATCATTGAGATGTGTGTCCGAGTGGTAAGAAGGCATTTTACGATAGGACACAGTGACCTTGAGTTCTAGTCTGAGCAGCTTGTGATGGAGCCCCAGCCCCAGGCCAGACCTCACCCGTGGGCTGAGCCTTTCAATTGGTTCCTCTGACTACAGCCAAGCGCAGCACTAGGATGGCGTAGGAGGAAAAAAAACTGCCTCACAACCCATGAAGGCCAAACACCAGCAAGATGTACCTTGCCGGGGATCCAGACTCAGAGCACCCTCCCGCTCCCCCTTACTGCATCAATTTCATCCCTACTCCAGGCTCCAAGGAGATTACAGGCTTCCCGGTTACTGGGCGGAGCTGGGCCTGATGCTGGAGCGCCCGACTTCAGGAGTCAGGCCTAATGGAGGGGCTTCTCTTTTCACCGGCTTCGGACGCCCCCGCCCCCCCTGCCCCCTCCAGCAAAGAAAGGCTCTCTGGCCATTTCCATTCCCTCTGAGCTCAAGAGTCCTGTTATTTAATACCGTGGCCACCCCGGCAGCATCCTGCCGAGGCCTGCTCCACCCATCTACCTGGCCAATTCACCGCTGCTCCCTTTTCTTTTAAGGGGAGCAATCGGGAAAACTGCCTTCTGCAACAAAAGGCACAGGGCCGCAAGATTAAAAAGAACAGCGACTTCTGAGGACTGGAAGACAAGGGCACGAGGAGGGAAGGGGGCACCTAGCCAGGGCAGCAGAGGGCGGGCGGAAGCCCGGGGCATTGCGGACATTACTCTGGGGCGGGAGAGAGGCGGGGTTGAGAGGTGAGGGCCAGGCCTCTGGCTGAGTGGACAGAATCACCCCGGGGGGTACTGGAGCCGGAAGAGGCCTGGCCCAGATACTGTCCACACCCAAGAAATGGGAGGAGTGGTCTACACTTAGAAAGGGAGCCAGATTCACTCAACAACCCCCACCCTACCCTTCTTTGAAATAGACAAAAGACATTTTCTTAATTTTTGGCAAATGAGGCTGGAAGGTCCCTGCCCCCGACGTCCCCAGGCGCCACTGATCTTGAAAAGGAGAAGGTTCCCAGTAGGGGTCCTCTCGCTCCCCCTCCCCATCGCCTGAGGCGACAAGAGATACGCTGATCGAGGTGTGTCCTCCCCCACCCTGCTCTAGGCCCAGAATCCCGAGGCCGCAGCGCCCCCCACCCTCTAGTCACACTGACGGTTCCTGCCCTAGCCCGCAGTGGCGTGAAGGTGGCCTTTACCTCCTCTCGCAGGCTGGGAGGAGGGTACAACCCACGCAGCTGAGCCAGCTGCAGCAGTCGCCGCCGCCCTCCATTCATTAAAAAGAAAAAAAAAAAAAAGGAACAACAACCTCCACCCCTCTTTGTAAAAGAACGACGGCCCCTGGAGGAGCAACAGCCGGCCCCAGCAATCACGGGTTAAGCTCTTTTCCGGCCCCCCATTCATAAAAAAAAGAAAAAGGGAAAAAAAAAACGCAGCGCATGCGCGCACGGGGTCGCTTGTGCCCACCCATTCATAGAATCGCGGGCGGCGCGCGTGCGCAGTGGAGCTCTCTGCCCTCCCATTCATAAAAAAGCCATTTTCCCAGGCAAGGGTTGCAACATCGCCGCTGAGGCAGCGAGCAGAGCTGACAGCGGCGGAGCTGGCGCTGCAGGACTCAGGGAGCCTTGCCGGCTCCTCTGACTGGCGTCTGCGAGTACAACAGCGACTGACCCACTCCGGTTCGGGTATTTACATAGACGTGGAGCGATGCTTGTGACTCTGCAGCTCCTCAAAGTAAGTCCATAGCTGGTTGGAGATCCGAAAGTACCCCCTCGGTGCCGTGACGAGGCTCCCCACGGGCTGGGGCCAATGGTACGCTATTTCGAGCCGCTTCGGTGTTCCTTCCCTTGGTCTGCGCCTCCTCGAGTCCCTGCGGTACGCCGCAGCTACCAGGCGCGCCCGGCCGGCACGGCGCTGGGGGTGTTCGCTGCCTGGCACTGCCGTTGCCGACCCTGGGCATTGCCAAGTTGAGCTTCCGCGCCCTCTGCGACTCTGGAAACCTTGTTAGTGTCCGGAGTTTGCCTCTGGCCTGGCCTCTTTCCTTCTCTTGCCACTACTCTCCTTGAGCGCGGAACCCGCAGCCCCGGGCTCGCTCTGGAGCGACCGCTTGGGACTTGGGGGCGCCCTACGTTTGGGCGGCTCGCCCACCCCCGGGCTCCGTGCCCACGGTGCCAGTTGTGCCGTGGGTCTTCCCAGCCCTTCCTCAGGGGCCTATGCTCGACGTGGGTTTTTCTTTCCCGGTTCCGAGCCGTGGAGGACTAGGTTTCCTCTCCTGCTTTCCCACTGGATGGTCAGCGTGGGGCCGGCCAAGGACTGAGCTTTTCTGCTCCCTCTCCTTGCGAGGCGGTTCCAGACCGTCTGACCTTTGCTCGGCTGCCTCATTTTATGCTGTGCAACTGCCTTGCTGCTTCTTTCCCTAGCCTCTTCTGGGCCCGAGGCTCCTTCGCCATCCGGTATCCCCCTATCCTCAGACATCGATCTTTGCCAGGTCCCGGAGCCCCTGGGCCTCTCGTAAGGCTGTGGTGGGGGCTGAAGGTGCGTTTACATAACGCCGGGCGTGTGGGAGCTGGAGGAAGAGGTTGCATGCGTAGGAGAGATAAGGTGCCCACTTTGCCTCCTTGTTGGTACCAGACTTGACAACACGGAGAATAGAGGATAGAGACGGTATGTTCTGAAGAATTTGGAGTCGTCAGGGCCACGGGGACATTGAGGGGGGGGTAAGGGAGACGACGGGCTTGGCCAACCCGGGCAGCTGGAGCTTGGCTTCATCACTGGGGCCACGGCTGTGCCCAGTTCCCCCTCCAAGCAGACGATCAAAAAGCATTTACAGTAGCAGCTCTTGGGCAAGAAGACGTTTCTCAATTCTTTTGATTGGGGGCTTGGGGGTTGTGGGCAGAGGAAGAGGCGAGAGACAGAAAGATGGTTGCATGGCTTAAGGGCTAAGGGATGGAGTTCTAGGCGGCATGGGCTGGAGGGGATTGCATGCAGAGGGGAAAGCTGCTGGCTGGGCATCCATGTTGTCAGGCCTGGCTCAGGGCAGAAGGCCTCCTACTGCGCAGGGAGTAGGCTCCCCGGAACCCTGCGACGCTGCAAGGAAAAGATAGATTCCTTGGGGTCTTCAGATGCAATGGCAGTCTCCTCTTTAATGTCACCAACCAGTGGTTTGATTCTCCCCATTCTGAGGAGAGGCAAGGGAACCTGGGGAGGGCAGGAGCTCGGGCACATCCCCTCTGTGGGTGACACCAGTGCAGCAGCCTTCTAACAGGCCTCTACGCAGCACAAAGCTGGAAGGTGAGACCTAGAGCAGTTGGGAAATAGGGGTTTATCAATCTCTTAATAAGTTCCGTCTGGCCTAAGGCCCTCCCCAATATTGCTCCGCTGGATTTCACAATGTTTGGAGGTCTCGATCTTCACACAAATGGAGCACAAACATCTGAGATTTTCTGCTTCTAACCACCACGTTAGTGCGGCTGTGGAGGTTGTGGATCTGTCCGTCAGAGGAAGACTGCAGCTGCTCAGGCTCCTTCTCTGAAAGAAGTTGTAGGGTTGACACCCCTGAGGTGGCTTTTCCTCTGTTTCCAGGTCTTTGGGAGGGTCCCTTGGCTCCAGGAAAATCCTCTCCAGGCTGGAGCAGGTGAACTGTGTTGGTGAGCACTTAGATTGCTGAACCCTGAGTGAACAACTAGGTGGAGGGAGGCTTTAAGGACATCCCTTGCTTGTGTCCCATCTGAAGTTTTAGACCTGAGTTCAAGAGTCTCTTTCCTTCTGGGATATCCATGCCTTCTTGCGGGATCCCACAACCTTTTCCACATTGCCCTCTGAAATGGTAGCCTCACCACAGCTTTGGTTCAGGCTGGTGGGAGGAGACAGCACAGACTAGATCCATTCAGGGCAGATGGGAGGCTGGGCATCCACCGTCCTTTCTGCCTGTATCACGTTCCAGAATTGGCAATTTGGAACTCACCCTTTGCCCAGTTCAGACTTCTTTTTCACTGTCTTGTGAACTTAGCACTATATGTGCCCAGAGGTTTGGCTGGCTTTCTAAAACAACAGAAAACAAATGAAGGCAAATAAGCCATCCAAATGAAGGGAGAGACAAAACCCATGAACACGCTCCTCAGTGGCTTTTGAAATGTGTCACTCTTTGGATCAGACATAAGGACTTTAAATTCCAGTCCCTTGCTGTGGTATCCTGCCCTGTTGTGGACTTTTGTAACATTTTAAATTTAGTTTTAAGGCAGGTTCTCATTATGCAGCCCTGGCTTTTCTGGAACTCACTCTGTAGACGAGGCTGGCCTCAAACTCAAAGAGATCCACCTGCCTCTGCCTCCCAAGTGGGGATTAAAGACTTGTTAGCACGCTTTTCGTAAATCCATGCCTGGTAGATAAAGCCTGCAGCTGCTCAGGCTCCTTCTCTGAAAGAAGTTGTAAGGTTGACACCCCTGAGGTGGCTTTTCCTCTGTTTCCAGGTCTTTGGGAGATCCACCCGCCTCTGCCTCCTGAGTGCTGGGATGGCCTAGGAAGAAGGTCCCTCTTTGGAGTTTTAATTTGGTTCTGAATCTAGGTTATCTACTCCGGTAGAACCAAGAGGGAGTTGCATGTGCCCAGCTGAGGGAGGATTCCTGCCATCTACTCAGTCAACTAGGATGTTTGGAGCTTGGGGAGTAGACTGAACAGGGTTTGTTGTTTGCTAGCTGGCTGGCTTGTTTTGAAACAGGGTCTTGATTTGTAGGCACAGGCTAGTCCTGAACTCTTAAAAATTTATTTTAATTATTATATGCATAAATCGTGTGCACACACATACTTACATGTGAATGCAATTGCCCACAGAAGTCAGGCATTGGATGCCCCTGGAGCTGGAATTACAGACTAAAGTTGTAACAGCTGCCTCAAGTTGGCGCTGGAAACTAACCTTAGGTCCTCTGGAAGACCAGTATGTGCTCTTCATAGCTAAGCCATCTTTCTGGCCCCATAACCTTACTCTTTTTTTCTTTTTTAGAGACAGGGTTTCTCTGTTAACAATCCTGGGCTGTCCCAGAACTCGATTTTGTAGACCAGGCTGGCCTCGAACTCGCAGAGAGATCCACCTGCCTCTGCCTCCTGAGTGCTGGGACTAAAGGTGTGCGACACCACCAACTAGCAGAGGTTCTTAATCTCCCTGCCTCCTATAGTCTTGAGTGCTGGCTTTACAGATGTGCCACCTTGCTGAGTTATGACAGGGTTTTTGTTTGTTTTTTGAGACAAGGTCTTGGCTGGCCTGAAACTCCCCGGGGAGATAAGCGGCATCCAACTTGGGAGCAGTCCTCCTGCCTCTGCCTCTGGAGTGTGGGCATTACAAGCAGGCAGGCTGCACCATGCCCAGTTTATAACAGCATTTTTAAATAAGAGGGGTAGCGAGAGTGGAGAAGAACACAGTGACTCGTGGTAATAGGTTTTTGTAAGGAGACAATGACTAACGTAGGGAAAACTGTTAGCGGTCCTTTCGGACTAGGCAGGGGCTGGGAAGCCTGGACCTTGGTGGTGAGCAAACTCCCAGAGCCCGTGGGACCAGGGGCAGCCAGTAGGGCTTGTTTGTGGCTAGGACTGAGGCAAGCTCACTGTTAATCTGTACTCTTAGGGGAGAGTCTAGTCTTAAGGACCTTTTGAATAAGAGGCACAGAAAGTAGAGGGTGCTGTGTGATTTAAAAGGTGGGGGTATTGATTCTCAGGGAGCTGGGGCTACCCTGCAGATCTGGACAGCTGACGAGGTTGGGGAATGTGTCCACGACATGTGGCCAAGCTTAAGAGGCCCCGCTGTTCAGCTGTGATGGGGGTGGTTCTTTCCAAAGAAGGGCCTCCAGTCAGTGAAGGAAGCGAGGAAGCAAGGCGTTGTAGAGAGAGGCACAGATGTTCTAGGTCTAGTGGAGGAGGGGAAGGGGCCCTGGGGCAGGTGGCCCGATGCACTAGAGCATTTTTCCTTACCCGTCTGCTTCTGGCTGGGAAAGGGGGAAGTCATTTCCTGTTCAATCCCAAGGGTAAGCTAAAAATCTATTGTTAGTTCTGTCTCTTGGAGGAGGTTGGGGAGACAATAAGACCATCTTGATGACGTCTAAAAGGCCTTTCAAGGGGCTGGGGGGTCTGCAGGCTTCTAGTCACATTCTACGCTTTGGCCTGACCAGTTCCTGAGTGGTGCTGCTGGTTAGCAGGCCCCATCCAGTGCCCTTCCTTTGTGACATGGCTTCCGATCTCTCTTAATGGGGTACTGGGCAGACACAAGTATATGGGTATACATATAGCAAAGCAGAAGCTTGAAGCTGGTTAAAATTGCTCAAAATACAAGGAAAGGAAAAGGGGCTGAAATCTGGTGATGGGACAAAGGATGACGGACCACTGTTTTCTTTTGTGATCCCTAACGTGGCCAGCTGTGAACTCGCTAATGCTAGTAAAGTAGGAAGTGGGTAAAAGTGTGTCCTCAAACAATTTCAGCTGCTCAGAGGCATTCTGCTTTCTTCTCCTGGGCCTCCACAAATTGGCTTCCCCCATAAGACCTGGCTTTCCCTACCCCCTTCTCTTAAGGGTCTTTTTAAAAGCAATAAGTCACCATCTGGCTATAGCTTAATTAACTAAACTGGGTTAGTGTCACAAAGGACCAGGCAATGGTGTTGCAGAGGGGCGGCCGGCTCTCGGGCAGCCTAAAGACCTTTATTGTGACTTTAAAGGGTTAAACAACCTTCTGTGGAAGAGCCCGCTAAGACTGAATGGGCAGCACAGAAACTGCCCATTCATTCGGAGCTTCTTGCCAGCTTGTCATTCGCTGACTTGTAGATTTTAAAGTACAACGGGCAGGTTTTCTCAATATTTCCCAGCTGTCCTTCCCAGGGTAAATCCAGGGAAGGGTAGCCAGACTGTGTGGACATTTAACATTGTCTCTTGATTCTTTTCCTGCAGCCTTTGTGTCCAGGTCCCTCCCTGCAGGCAGTGAGGGTCAAGACAGGCAGCTTCGAGCTGCCAGTGCCAGACCGAGCAGCAGCAGATTGAGGGGCTGTGCCGTGGGAAAGGGGGTGGGGTGGGTAGCTTGCTGATTCATCAGCCTCGCCAACTCCTTGAGCCTGGCTCTTCCCTCCCCTCCCCTCCCCTCCACACCTGCACTGGAAACTCTATCATCAGAGATGCCCCGGGAACCCCAGAGTTGAACTTGATAGGTGAGGTGGGAGGGGATCCGGTTTCACACCAGGATTTCCTTTTCCTTTAAGGATGGTTACAGTGAAATCCTGTAAGGGAGATCCATTGGGGTAAAGGTGAAAACAATTAGTAAAAGAGAGGTGAAGTGACAGAAAATGCTGATTGCCAGAAAAACCCCTATCTGGAGTCATTTATCTGCTGGTTGGGTTACTGAACCTCTCACCACCCCCACTGACCACGAGGTTGGTGGCTCAGGGGGGCCTTGGGCTACTGAAAGACTAGGCTAGGAAAATGATTGGCACGTGGACATTTTTCCATGGGTCCCTAGGGGTAGGGAAGGCTTCCACAAGTCATTGTTAGCTAAGGCTCCAGGTCTGTTTCAGCCACAGGGTCAAATGACTAGAGATGAGTCCTGCCCTGATCACTTGCTCTACCCCTGTGAGTGTGTGTGTGTGTGTGTGTGTGTGTGTGTGTGTGTGTGTGTGAGAGAGAGAGAGAGAGAGAGAGAGAGAGAGAGAGAGAGAGAGAGAATGCATGTGTCTATGTATACCACACATACCTGATGTTCTTAGAATGGTTGCCATCAGATTTCCCCAGAATCAGAAATATACATGATTTGTGAGCTACCGTGTGGGTGCTGGAGACTAAACCCAGAATTTCTGCAAGAACAGCAAGCGCTCTTAATTAGGGAACTGTTTCTCTAGTCCATTTGCCTTATCATTGGAGGTGGGCATGGGGTCTTTCCTTGAACTTAGTGATACCCTAGTGGTAGGACTGGCCAATGAGCTGAGGGGATCCTCCTGTCCCCACTTTACCTACACTGGGATTACAGATGTGACAAAACTGTGCTTTGGGGATCAGAACTTCGATCCTCTTGCTTGTGTGGCAAGCATGCGCCGTGCTGACCGGTCATCTCCAAGGCCCTATGCTTGCATTTCTAACTCCAGAACGGGAGCTATTCCCTAAGGTGATGGTGAGGATCACCTGAGGATTAACTGAGAAAATGAAGCACTCTGGGCACAGCAGAGAGCCTGGCACCCAAAAGTGTTCCATAAATATTAGTCATTTCTAGTAATTAGCTGCTATTGTTATTATTATTGTTGTTATTATTATTATTATTGGAGGGAAGGTGAAAGTGTTCCTTATGCTAGTCCTCTGGCTGTAAGATCCTTCCTAGGCTTAAGTGCAGGGTTGGCGTCATTTCCATCCAGAATCTTCCAAATTGACCATCAAGCTCTTCCCAACAGCTTACGGAGGCAAAGCCTCCTGTCCCATTTATATTATATAAATCTCTTCCTTCCTTGGAGGAGAAGCGGAGGTGCCTATTAAAGTGCACTTAACACCTGCGGGGATGCACAAACTGAGGGGTGGAAATGTCCCGGGGTGGAGACTGATCTTGGAAATAGAACTCAGACTGGGGGGTGGGGGGGCGGTGTTGCTGGGTGGGGAGTAGACTGGGAGCTGTGCTTGAGGGGTTATCAAACAGGCAGTTTAGGAAGTTGTTTTTCTTTTTCGGCCACATCAATTCAGCAGAGGCTGGGGCAGGCCTAAGCAAGTGTGAGCCGAGGCTCTCCGAGCCAGCCCTTCGGTTTTGCTGAGATGGTGGCTGGAAAGAGTTCAGGGTTATGGTAGGGAGATGCCTTTTGAAACGTGTCTTCTGGAACCAAATGTCAGATGTGCGTGTCCTGAGAGAGCTGAGTCACTGGGGGCCAAGATCCCACACTCTAGGCTGGCCTCATTTGCCAGCGCAGATGTTGACAGCTGCCTCTGGAGGGTGATGGGGGGCAGTAGCTTCCCTGCCTATGGTGGCCGTTCCAAACTGGCTTGCTGATGGGGCTTTTGCATGCTTTGGAGAGTCTGCTTGCTGATTCCAGGGCCTGTTAAACATCCTTGAAAGTTGCCTAAGGCTTTTTGCTTCATCTGCAAGAAATGCAGCTGTTTTTAAAGAGAATTGGTTAACCTGCTTGGCAAAGCAGAGTGGGGAATCAGTTTGCCTCTGTCTGTGCCTAGCAGTACCTCTTTTCTCTCCTGCAGCTTGGTCAGTCCTGGACTTGGTCCTTAGATAAAACTCGAGCTACAAGGGCCAATATGCAGCTACTTGAAGATTCCACATAATTTTGTTGGCAGGTATTCCCAACCTGGGCTTTCTGGAATCATTGTCCAAGGAAGAAGGTTCTGACTTGAGACAGTCCTTGGCTAGCATCTGACAAGTCTGATCTGTGACACTTTATACCAACTTAGTGATTTTTTTTTTCCTTTAGCCAAAGACCCCACAACCTGGGGCTTCTAAGTTAACTGATCAGTTGACCCTAACTTAACATTTTTTTGTAGAGGCAAGGCCTTGGGAACCTCTTGGAACAAGTGTATTAGCTGAAAGGTAGCATTCCTTAGAGGGATGCTCTCCAGGATACTTCTACCCAGCCCTGATCACAACAATTCACTTAAAGCTTCCTTGACAAGGGACTAGTTAGTCTTTGGTAGAAAGCCTGCCAGGTGGTTGAGGAGGCTTCCACCTCAAAGGTGATGCTCTGAACTGTGTATAGTGGCGCATTCCTTTAATTGTAGCAATTGGGAAGCTGAGGAATGAGGACTTCTGTAGCCCAGCCTGGACTATTACATAATAAGTTTCAGACAATCTAAGATGTTATATGAATGTCTTGTTTTAAAAAATAATTAAAAGGTTAAAAAAAAAAGTTCTGATTTCACTGAAAAGAACTTTGTGGCCCCTGCTACTATGTAGACTCTCATCCAAGACAGACAGGGAAATAGTATATAAAGAAATACCTGTCGGGACAATAGTTAGTTCCCCGTGTGAATGGGAACTGTCTGGTGACTGAACCGTTGACCCTTGTAGAAAAGATGTGATTTTTTTGCGTTTAGCGGCATAGATGATGTACAGATAAATGCTGTGGATAACCTTCTTTCTATCCCTTTCATGAACTTTCTGTTTAGAGCTAGCTGTGTTTATTTCATGCCGACTAGAAGCATCCAAGAAAACGCTTCAACTATTTGTAACCAAATCCTAGTCTCCAAGCAGAGGCAAGCACAGTTGTGCCTTCCCATCAGCCTCCTCTCTCCACCACCACGAACACTTTACTCTAGTTTTACTTCCAGGGAGCCAAGTGTCACTCTCCTGTGATACTGAGATGGACTAACAGTCCCAGCAAGAGGGGTAAACGGAACTAGAAACCTACTTCACATTCCCTTGGCAACGCCTTTGATGCGAGATAAACTTAGTTGAGAGACATGAGCTGTCATTAGCATCTTGAAAAGGCATTTACAGAAACACCACCCTTAACACCGAGGAGCTCAGTGTGTGTTGTCTTTATGGAGACTCCTCTTCCCTTTCTCCATCCTTCCCTCCCCCAGTCCCTTGAAGTTCTTTGTGGAATCTTCCCAGAGTGTAATCTTTCCTTTGGATTCCAAATTGTGTCTCCTCTGAGCAGAGGTCCTGGCCTTCTGCTGCTATTTCTTTAAATTGATCTCCATCCGAATTCCAAATGTAAAGGTCAGCAGGCAAGGAAATGGTACTTCTAATAGAAAACAATGTGCACTTTCTAAATTTGAACCAAGCCGTTTCCGCTCTTTGATTTAAGTGACTTCCTGGGTTTCCGTGTCAGGCGCTGCAGTTGAATCTCTGGCCGGATGCCAACTTAAAATTGCACTCTCTCAGTGAAATTAGAAACTGATCCAGGGTTGCCTTAGCTATTCTAGTAAATAGCATTTAGTCTGAATGTTCAGCTCAGCACTTGGAAATGGGTGATGTGAGTGCCCCTTGAGAGGATTTCCCATGTAGGTTGTCGGGAGCTCACCTACCCAGGGGGCTTATGGGCTGCTGGAGGTTACCACTCTTGGAAGCAGGAGTAGTAGGTTAATAATGTCCCGGATGAGTGGGCATCAGATGCAGCCCTTCTCTTCTTAGTTCCCAAAGTGAAGGCTTTTGCTTATCCAGCTGACGAGCTCAAGGGAGCACACACCCTCTTTTACAGCCACAAAACTAAGGCATAAGCCATAGATTTAAAAGAACTCGGGCAGCTTGGGCCCTAGCACTCACCACTGCAGAGGCAGGTGGATCTCTGTGAGTTCAAAGGGCAACCTGTTAAATATCATGAGTTGAAAGCCAGCCCAGGGCTACAACACAGTGAGACCCTCCACCTGCCCCCCCCCATACTGGGGGAGTAAGATGGCTCATTTGGTTGATACAGGCGCTTGTTCACAAGCCTGGGGACCTCCGTTCCTTCATTGTCACACACAGGTGGAAGAAGAGAAGTGGTTGTTCCCTGAGAGAAGTAACTCTGACCTCCACATACATTCAAAATAATGTAGAAGGAAGTTGTAGTTTGTTCACAGCAGCACTTGTTAGGTCTAAAGTGTTTTGTTTTTTGTTTTGTTTTGTTTTTTTGAGATGGGCTCTTGCTCTGTAGGCAGGCTGGTCTCAAATTCACAGCTGCCTCTGCTTCCACCTTCCAAATTCTGGAATTCTAGGCCTATGCCACCGTGCCTGCCTCCCGAGTGCTGGCTGTGATTAAAGGCCTGTGCCACCACCTCCAGGCTCTACCTATTCTTTACCTCACCCAGTGGTACTGATGACCATAGCAAGAACCTGTGACACATACTCGGAGAGCGATCTACCACCAAGTTGCCCCTCAGCCCAACAGATGTTGCTTCTGCTGCTGTGATTCTCAGTAGCAGTGACCATTTAAGCCTTGGGAATTGCTAGGACGTTCACTGAAGAAATTTGGTTCCATTTCATTTAGGCTCCCGAGGCCTGATAGAAGATTGAGGGGAGAGGAGGGTATTAACAGGCCATATTGATGCTCAGGAATCCATTTTCTCTTTTTCCTTCCTCCCTCCCAGGGCCCCTAGAAGCCTGTCTATCGGTGCAGTCCAGGACCTCCAGCCTCATGGAGCCCCCGATCCCGCAGGGCACCGCCCCTTTGACTCCCAGCTCCGTCATGGTGCAGCCCCTCCTTGACGGCCGAGTGGCCCACAGCCGGCTCCAGCACCCACTCACCATCTTACCCATTGACCAGATGAAGACCAGCCACGTGGAGAATGACTACATAGACAATCCTAGCCTGGCCCCCTCCATGGGTCCCAAGCGGACCCGGGGTGGGCCCCCAGAGCTGGCCCCTACACCTGCCCGCTGTGACCAGGATGTCACTCACCACTGGATCTCCTTCAGCGGGCGGCCCAGCTCTGTGAGCAGCAGCAGCAGTACCTCCTCTGACCAGAGGCTGCTCGACCACATGGCTCCACCGCCAGTGGCTGAGCAGGCTTCGCCCAGGGCTGTGCGCCTCCAGCCCAAGGCGGTCCACTGTAAGCCACTGGACCTCAAGGGCCCAGCAGCTCCGCCAGAGCTCGATAAGCACTTCTTGCTGTGTGAGGCCTGTGGGAAGTGTAAGTGCAAGGAATGTTCGTCCCCTCGGACGTTGCCCTCCTGCTGGGTCTGCAACCAGGAGTGCCTGTGCTCGGCCCAGACCCTGGTCAACTATGGCACGTGCATGTGTCTAGTACAAGGCATCTTCTACCATTGCACCAACGAGGATGATGAGGGCTCCTGCGCTGACCATCCCTGCTCCTGCTCCCGCTCCAACTGCTGCGCCCGCTGGTCCTTCATGGGTGCCCTCTCTCTGGTGCTGCCCTGTTTGCTGTGCTACCTGCCAGCCACAGGCTGTGTCAAGCTGGCCCAACACGGCTATGACCGCCTGAGACGTCCTGGTTGCCGCTGCAAGCACACGAACAGTGTTATCTGCAAGGCAGCCAGCGGTGACCCCAAGGCCAGCAGGTCCGACAAGCCTTTCTGACACTGCCCTTGGAAACGTGGTCCCTCCTGCCAGTCTCCTAAGGCTGACCTTGCTCATCTGTCCTCTCCTAAACCCTAGATTGAGAAGAAGCAGGCAGAGACCACTGCCACCCAGCTTAGAGTCCCCAAAAGGATGAAGATGCACTTTGGGATTTTCATGTTCTTGAAACTTTCTGTCAAGCAGCAGTGATAGCATCGGGGTGTGCTGGTTTGGGATGTGGTTTTCCTATTTCAGAAGACAGAACACAGATGTGGACACAGTCTGGAAGTTCAGCTGCTCAATGGCCTTCCCAGCTCCTCCTCAGTCTCTTCCTCCCACTTTGCTATTGTCTGTGGCTCCTGCTGGAGCCTCCTGCCTGGGAGGAACAGTTAATGGAAGGTGGGATACCTTGAGGAAGACCCTCAGAGCCTTGACTTCTACCTTTTCTTCCTCTGTCCATGCCTGTTGGCCTTGGCCTCTTGGGAAGGTGCGCTGTAGCAATTCCTGCTGTATGGACTTGATAACTGAGAACAAAAATCACCCGGAGCCACAGGATGGATAAGGAGCCACGGGGCAGTGTGTTCCTCCTAGCTTCAATCACTAACTTGGGGGTGTCCACTCATCACACCATCCTCTGCTTCTTAACGGAGTCATGGACTGGCCTGCCTGCTGTGTGTCCCGAGAGCGCTCTACTCAGATTCTTTGCAGAAACTTGCTGGGTTAAGAGGGCCAGGGCGACACAAGCGAGACCAAATATCATTTTGCCAATGAGTCTGAGGCTGTGGTCTCTGGATCCAGTCACGATGTTTTTACATGTTTAATTAAACTAGATGCTAATGGTGTTTAAACAATAATAATACAACAACTTGCTTCCTTTTGGGCCACCCCCCAGGAAGGGCTGATTTCAAAATCTGGGGGCAACCACCTCAAGGAGCATAATCCCCCTGCCCATCAAGAATGGCGAAGAAGAGGCCGCACCTCCCATTGGCAGAATGACAGTTGAGCCGAGCTGGGGTTGGGTTTTCTTCGGGTTCTGCTGCTTGCTGTCATAGCCTTTTGTGTATAGTGATGTGTCTGTCTTTATGTAAATAGAGAGAGGATGAACAGAGTCTATTTTAGTGTTAGGAGGCCCCAGTGGGGAAGTCAGAGGAGCTCAGAGAGGGTGGGGAACAGTTCTCCAGGGGCTACTGGATTTGAGCCCCACTTTTGTGCGCAGCACAACCCCCGCCCCTCCCGACAGCCCCCAAAGACGTAGCAACTCTTTCTCTCACGGTGCTAAAGGACTCAGAAAGTGCAGCACGTCCAGTGGGTAGGTACTTGTTGCATGCAAAAAGCTATAGTGTCTCTGGTCCTTGCCCCTCAGCTGTTGTGTGGGGTTTTTGCTTTGTGTGGTATTTTGTCCCCATCCCTGCCTCTTAATGATGCGAGAAATGGCCTGGGTCAGAAGAGGTGCCCCAGGGGAAATTGGAAAAGCATTAGGCAAAAGTCACATGTAGCCTTTCTGGCTCTTCGTTGTGGGACCAGAGCTGCCCCCAGGAAGGAGGAGGCCATCAGGCAGGTAGCTGAGTAGCCTGTACCTAATGCTCTTTCTCAAGGATTCACCACCCCCCCCAACCCCACCTTGGAAACTAGTTGTAACACCTTATGATTTAGAATAAGTTAATTGTAACCATAGGTATTTATTGATTGGAGGAAGGGAGGGGTTTGTGTTCAGCTTTATTTATGTAACATTTACTGGCTTGTAAAAGGCAAGTATAAACTACGGCCTCTTCATTCCCTGGCTAACCCATATAGCTGCCCTTGCCCCAGTCGCTTGCGGTGTTCTTGCACAGATCAGAAGGACAGAAGATGGAAGACCGAAACACATTCAGCCAACCACTTACGCTAATTGAATGTATTAGAAGCTTGCGGAAGGGGCTGCAGATGGTTTCCTCAGATGAGGCATGTGGAGGGAAGCCCCCCCAAACGATAGCACACACGGAGCACCCTTTCTAAAAAAGCCTGGGAGCTTTGCCCGGGGTCCCTCCCTCACTTTGTCTCCACAGGACATTTGACCCAGTGGCAAGTTGCACTTTGGTGATCTTGGTCTATCCACCTCTGTGGACAATTGAGTTACATAAGCCGTGTATGCGGACATGCACACGTGACACTTACACACTGACCCTCCACCACACAGACCCTGTTTCCTGGCAACCCCTCCCGGACCCCGACTTTGTGTACATAGCTGTAAACACGGATTTTTATGGGTTTTGGTTTGCTCCCCCTTCCCCTTGTTTTGGCTTGCGAATGATGTCTACAGAGCTCTCCCTCCCCCCAGGAGTTTACCTTGGGGCCCGCTTGGCTTGGTGGTAAAGGGGGAGGGGCGAAGGAAGCATCCTTGATTTCCTCAGCTCTATTGCTTCTCTCTGGCTTCTCGGCAAACACCTACACTTGGGAAAGAATGCATAACACACAAAGTGGTAGTGTGCCCGTGGGGCCCCACCCTCTTCCCAGGCTAGTCAGCCGGCACTGAGTACCGGCCCTCGCTCTAGCTGCTTCAGACTGGTGGCTTGCTGCCTTTAGCTTGCCCGGCTGAGTTAGAGCTCTTCAAAAGGTCCAGCCGGTTCTCACACCTGGGGTCAGTGACAGTTGTACCTGGAGCTGAGGATGTCATCCAAGACAGTTCCTAAAAACTACCCCGGCTACTTGGGTTTCCGCTGCAGTCCTGTGAGCACATTGGGCTGTGCTAGCACAGCCTTCCAAGGTACAGTCAAGGCTCCTCCCTAAGCCAACTGGAAGGGAACAAAGAACGGTCCTCACTGTTACCTTGGGCACTTGCCAGCTGATGAAGTTCTTTGAGCTTGGGCAGTCTGCATTGGTGGGGCCCCCAGCTGGATCCCAACCCCGAAGGGACAACACATACAAAGTTGGTCTTGGGCCGGAACCCAGGTCGTCACTTTGAAGCAGCGTGGTCTCCAGTGCTATTCCAAGAAATGTCTGAGGTGCGTGGGCAGCACACACCTGCACAGTACAACTTACTAGACCGTCCGAGGCTTCACCAGCCTCCTGGTTTGTGCATTTGACGAGAAGTTCCATGCCCTTCCTGCTCTGTAACCGTGGATGTCAATCCCGTTTCCATTTTTTGCTGTGGGTGACTGCCGCTGCTTTCTTGGCTTTCTCTTCCTGTCCCACGGTTGATTGATGTTAGCAGCAGTAGGGCTGTGCCCAGTGCCCACTCCACTGCGTCCCTGTTTCTTTTCTCCCCCACTGTGGCCCCTTCTCACCTCACCACAAAAGTTACCACAGAAGGTTTCCTTTGTAAAAAATATTTATTTTGAAGCTCTATTTTAATAGTATTTATTTTAGAAAGTCTACTATTGTAAGAGTTCTTCTGTTTGTGAAGAAAAAACAAGTTAAAAACTGAATGTACTGATCTAGAAGATATCTATAAATATATATTGTTCAATATACATATGACTGCCATTTTCTCGTGTTGTGGTCCGTTGCCTGGCGTCCGCGCTCAGCAGAAGTTTCCCGTATGTCAGAACTCTAAGCCACATGAGCATGTGCACACAGTGGGCTGGGTGTCCAGACTGGGGAGACCCTCATCTACCTCTAGGATAATCTGAAGGCCACTGAGGAATGTTGTACTTCTAGTGAAACTGATTGTGGTTTGTGATGCAAAAACCCTTCCTGGGTCACCTGTCCCCACGGGGTGTATGAGGTTTGGGTTTTCTGGTTATTTCTTGAGAGAACCTTGCTATATCAAGATATTGTTAGCCCAGGCTAGCATTAAAAGTGTGCCGTCATGCCCGGCCATTGGATATCTTAGTAACACAGTGGGCAAAAAAAAAAAAAATCAGAACTAGGAAGAGCTAGAAGTGGGGAGAAGGACCAAATTTTGGTCCTGGTGCCCCTCCCTAAATCGACAGGCTTCAAGAAGCCGAGCAGTAGAGCTCTTAACTTCCTTGTTTGCTCGACTAATGAGACCTCAGACAAGATCCTTTGACCTCTAAGGCCTCATGTCTACAGAACGGCTTCTCTTTGTCCACTGGAACCTGGTCAAAACTCAGGTCCACCTGTCTGCCTCCTGAGTGCTGGGATCAAAAGCGTGTATCACCATGCCTGGCCTCGGTACTTTTTCTTGGTCACAGAGATGGCATCTTAGGCTTCTTATAAAAATCCAATCCTGTTCCTCTTTGAGGCTTTGGAACATGTGTCAAGGACCCCCTGGTCATTGCCCAAAGGACACACAAGACATTCTTCAGTGTGGCCCTATGTACAATAAGAATTTGAATAAAGATAGTCTCAAGCCCTCCTGTTTTCTGACCTGTCCCACGTCTACAGAAGTAACACTTTGGTCCCAAGTAGTGACTCCTCGGGCTCACTTGGTTGGTGGCGTTTATGTTTTGAGTCTTGGCGTTTAGAGGTTAGTAACAAACCCCAACTGAGGTTGTGTTCTTAAAGGCCCACTCACTCAAAAGGCCTCTGGGGAAGTGAAAAGCCGCGAGTATCCAGGAGAGAATTCCACGTCTACTATACTTGTCTGACTCCATCCTTGTCCCTCCGTAAGTTCCCAGTTGCAAATGGCTCAGGGATGACCCCAGAGGTCAGTCAGCATTTGCTCTGTTACTTTTTGCCTGATGCGGTTTGCTTTGAAACGCAGAAATGAATGTTGGGGAGGGATTACTGCTCACACAGAATGTAAAAATGTAAATTGAGGGTTCTGTAGCTGTACTTGAGGAAGTACTGCAAGGAAGAGCTGGAAAGTGTCCCAGTGACCAAAAATATCAAAGTTGAATCAACCCTCTTCCTGTCCATAACCACATAGTACTCTTCGAAGAAGGAGTGGATCGGGCTTCAGGCTGTAGCTCAGTGCTAGAGTACTTGCCTGGCACGTGTTAGGTCCTGAGGTCAGTCTCCAGCATTGCCCCCTCCCAGAGAGCTTGGCTTGGTGGGGGCATCTCTGACCCATACGTAGAATAGATCCCCGTACCCCTGTAGCCTCGTCCCCTGGTCCAGAGCCCCCAGTACACTCAGCTCTCCAGCCATCTACCCAGTCTAGGTAACTAATAGCTCGAAATGAATCTAGCTTTCCAAAGCATGAACCCCCAGAAAGACCCAGGCAGCCTGCCCCACACTGGAGGTGCTGCCAGATAAAAGCCGGGAGGACATTTTTAAGAGACTTGAAGTTTATTCATCGGAACTTTAATAAAACAATATGTCCGAGGCCTGAGGCAGGTATAATTTTCATAATTTATGGGTCTCTGAGACAGGAAGAGAGCTCAGGGTTTTATTGTGTTTCGCACGATAAATGGCATTCCAATTGTCTGCCCGGTGTTCTTTAAGGCCGCTTGTCTGGCGGCAGTGCGGCCTTCTGGAGCCCACCTGGGCCCGGAGGCCAGAGGCAAGGGCTAATTATGGATGCATCTGGATGCATTAAGCAGGAGATGACTGAAAAACTCCCTGGGCTCTACTTCCTATGCCCACACGTGTGCTAACAGTAACTGCTGTAAGCTTCAGAGCCTCGCTCCTCTCCCCTCCCAGCCTAGCCCTTCCCATCCTCTCTGCTGGACCTGGAGACTCTCAGGAGGTGACTTAGGACTCTGCACAGAACGGCTACCAGTCACACAGCAAAGAGCTCTAAGTGAGAGCTACTATTGGAAAAGCCCGTAGACCAGATGCTGCTACAGAGTATCAGGTAACAGCAGGCCAAGTGGTCTTATGAAATATTGCAGAGGGCATCACTGGGGAGCATAGAGGGGGCGTCGTTGTTTACACTCTTGAAACTAAATGAAGTTACAATCGGCCTCACTTGACAGAAAATCAAGGTTCAGTAAACCATGGGTGGATTTACTTACCCTCAGCCCACCACTGAGAAGTGGCTGAAGGGAAATTTTTAACCCAGAAGGTCTTCCAAAGCCAGTGCACTAAATGCTAAAGTCTTGTCACACTTTTAGACCAATGAGCACTGCCTTTGGGGTACTTTCCCTTGTCCTCAGAGGCTCCTCATCAGTGGTCCTTCTGTGACTGTGTAGAGTAGGCTATTTTAGCCAAGATCCCTTCCCAACTGTCACAGAGACAGGATTTGAACTCGAGTCTCAACCAGTGAGCCCAGCAGCCCCTATTAAAGCTCTAACTGGGCTGGAGAGTCGGCTTAGCAGTTAAGAGTGCTTGCTGCCTTTGCAGAGGACCTTAGTTTGGTTCTCAGCCCCACAACTGTCACTTCCAGGAGAACCGACGCCCTCTTCTGGTCTCTGCTGGAATCGTGTGTGAACGTGGTACACAGAGATAGAGGCAGGCAAAACACCTGTACACACAAAAAATCAAAAATAAAAAACAACACTAAGCGCCCTTCAATAAGCCAGTTCTGAGAAAGAACCTCTGACCACACAGCACTGCTCTTTCCTCTTTCGACATTGGCAGCCCTCTCCCAGCCCCCACTCTAGGCTGTGCAGTGGCCATTTTCCAAGCACCACTCCTCAGGGAGACTAAAGCCCTCTGCTTCCATCTAATGGTACAAAGAACTGTTCTCCCACTAGGCAAGGCCCACCGAACAGGGCCTGGGGACTCTGAGAAATGGCTGCCTTACATGGTAAGGACTAGGAACTTACTGGTGGTCTACCTGGTGGGGACTAGGTAGTTCAACCATGGCTGTGTACACTGGAGAGGCTGAGGGTCAGCCTACAAACCCCGGATGTGTTAGTAGTCCCATCCCGAGGTGGAAGACTTGGGAGTTCCAGCGTCTAGGAAGCTGGATTCTGATGGTAGTAGAGTGCCCACAGCTGGCAGCAGTAACAGCGTTAGATGTGTTCATGGAGAAGCGAAAACGGGCAGACGATGTCATCTTTTCCGTGGGCCTTTTTAAAAATCTGGGCCACCTCTTTGGAAGGTGGGTCTTCGTTTTTTTCAGTAATTGTTTCTGGAAACACCCTCACAGACATGCCCAGGGGTGTGTTCTCCCAGTGATTACAGATCTCACCAAGTTGACAGTCAAGAGTACCTACCTATCCAAGCTGGAGACATGGCTCAGCTGTTAAGAGCACAGGCTGCTCTTCAGAGGAGTCAAGATCAATTCCCAGCGCCCACATGATGGGCAGCTCACAACTGTCCGTAACTGCAGTCCAGGGGAATCCAAGCCCTCCCTCTTCAGGCCTCCCTAAGTACTATATGCAAATGCTGCACAGACATACATGCAGACAATGTACCCAAATGCACATAATGTACATAAAATAGAATTAAAAAAAAAAGAATATCCCTCATATGCAAGTGGACAGAGTGTCTGATATTTGGGTATTCAGTTCACTTCCTCATTATGCTGTGGCAGCCAGGTCATACTTAACTTCAGCTGGAGTCAGTCTCTCCTAAAGATGGCTTCATTAGCCGGGGGGTGGGGTGGGGGTGGGGTGGGACACATCTTTGATCCCAGCACTTGGGAGGCAGAGGCAGGCAGATCTCTGTGAGTTGAGGCCAGCCTCAGAGCAAGTTTCAGGACAGCTAGAGCAACACAGAGAAACCCTGTCTGGGGGTGGGAGTTGGGGGAGATGGCTTCATTGCAGATCCCAACTTCGCTGTCACCTTCTGTCATCTGCCCCCCAAACTTTCATTCGGGCTTTAAATGCCTGTATGAATGACAACATCAAGTACCAGATTTCCTATCTCTTCTCAAGGAAAACTTTGCTATTCACATAGTTGTTTCCCATAGCCTGGGCATTCCAGACTAAGTAAGCTAATTAAAATAAAAATAGCCATCCTTCATACCAATCACAGATAAGTAAAGAACCTTCCAGTGGACACCTGCCACCTGACTGGTGTCCACTGGATCTGGCATCACAGAAGCTGAGCTGTGGGAAAAGAGCTCTTGGTGAACCTGGTGGCGTTACTGAGAAAGTTTTCGAGTTTGCATAAGCACTTTGTGATAGGGCCATGGGGCACTCTTCACCAAGCCTGTGTTCGAGGTCATGGATCCCACTTTTGTTCCCTTCCCTCATACTGAATGCATGTCTATTTCATCTGAGCTGTAAACACCACATCATCTGCGGCTTCCGTTCCTCTAGTTACACTGTAACTGTTAGAGCAACCAAAACACATTTGCTCTGGGCAGGTTTACCAGATGGACTGATTGTAGCCGGGGAAAGCCTTGAACCAGGCTTGGTGCATAGTTTTTTGTTTGTTTGAAGGATTTGTTGTGGGAGCCCGTTCTCAGGTTCCTCGTGGCTTTACCCAGCAGGTCCGCATAGAGGATGATTAGGACCACGGGCCTGAGTGCAGGTGTCTGAGATGGTCTGCACTTGGCTGTGCTGGGGGAGGAGGTCTTTTGCTCCACCCCTTGGCGTCTCTATAAAAACCCTGGGGCAGAGACAGTCGGGCCGTTGGAATAGGTTCCAGGTCCTCTCGAGGCTATCTTTTATTTTCTGTTTATCTCCGCAAGAGTCTCCGCAATAAATCCTTCTATCTAATATTTCCTGCTGCTCGCACTCAAG